TAACTTTTAAAAATCGTCCTTAAAATCAATTTAACCATTAACTCAACCGTTTGCCATGAAACAAACAGATGAGTTTGGAAATGCTTTGGAATGGATGGGTGTGAATAGAAGAAGACATCACACAAAAATTGATAACCTTATAGTAAAAAATTACTATAATCTTTTACCTCGCCTAGCTATATAAATAAATAACTACCGTAATAACGCTTCATTATGTGCTCTGTTTATAGCCTATTGATAACCTTTAAGTAAAAAAAAAATCTCATCTCCTTCTCTTAACTCGTAGCCTATTTATAGCCTACTATAATTATTTTGTTTTATTACCATATTGATTATAATTATTGTTCCCTCTTCCTCTCCTAAAGGCTCGTTCTGAATTATTTCTCCTCTCTCTCTCTCTCTCTCTTTAGAACAACATATTCATTCATCTCTTCGGCAAAATCTGCCATCTTTAATGGCGTCTGTAAGTTTCTTCATTATCCTCTTGTTTTATTTAGAATCATTTTTCGCATTCCTAGTTTTCATATAATCGGTTGACTTTTATTAGAAATTTAATGTACACATGTGCATAAATTCTATATATTTGCTGAATTGTTCATAAATTTCACCAACGTTTGCTTGATTTTTGAAACAATGGGTGTCTTGTCTTAGAATTGGTGGAAACAAAAAAAAAAATTCTGATTTCAACGTTCAATATTTTGTCCAATTTTATATATTTACACGCAAATCCTCATCCATGATCCTATAAAGCTCTGTTATAATATGTGAAAACAGGCGTTGATGACCGAATCCTTTTAATAATTTGCTTAAATTGCATGTTTTCGTACCCTCATTTTTCTTTCTGTTATGTTTATACACAACGTAAGCATATGTTGATCATTGTTTCATCTCCATTTCTAACATCTAAACTAAGTCGTCGCGTAGATAATTAAAATGTAATCTTCTCATGCGGATGATTGTATACTGCTGCGGAAACTTGTTCGCTTGACATTTTTTTTTTGGGTGCTAAGCTTTGTAAGGCTATGTTTCGCAAACATAGCTGATAAGCTAGCTTATAGCTTTCAAGTGAATTTCGGGTTTATAGTTGATACCTTGTGACTTATGTCTGAAAAACTAACTTATATGATAAAAGTGTTCCGTAAAATTAATTGATTAACTAGCTGAAATAAAATTTTCAATGGGCTTATTTAAAAAGCTAACCAAGAAAGCTTATGAGATAAGCTCGAGCTTTTTAAAAAAGCTCGTCTAACCAAACAAAGCTTATTTGAATGCAGGAAGCTTATTATAACCTAATCAAATAAGCTATATATAAGCTAGCTTTTATGTTTACCAAATACGACCTAAGTTTACTATGGTTTCCACATGAAATTCACAAACATAAAGGGATGCATTGTAGCACTCAAACTGCTTTTGTACTGAGGATTCCATATAATTCTCCTGATTTTGTTGTGATATGAAGCACGAACAAGGTAGGCCACTGCCGAAATTTGGAGAGTGGGACGTGAATAATCCAGCTTCAGCCGATGGATTTACAGTGATTTTTGCAAAGGCAAGGGACGAAAAGAAGGCCAAGGGCACTGCTGCTAATACAGCCCCACCACCGAGTACTGATACGCCTCAAACACGCCAATCGTACGGGACCCAAAACAAGGTTTTCCATTTGTTTCGTTCGTCCTTCTTTTTCCCTCTTCTTTAAATTATTATAAGTTAAGTGATTGTGCGTAAAATTGGTTGCTAAAAATGCAGAAAAAGTGGCTTTGCTGTTTCTAAAGCTGGTGCAGATGTGTGAGAAGTGAGATTAATGCATAAAATGGGAAAAAGTAGAGAGTTCAAAGCGGGGCAAAGATCCAGCTGACGACTGACTAGCATCTCTCTGTGATTTTTTACTTATCTCTTTTGTAAAGCCATATCTGTTGTGTTGACTATCCAAAGTTTGTGAGGTTTCTAATATAAATTTTCTCCCCCAAACTTGTGTTTGGGAGAAAATTGTGGAACGTTTGTTTCTCCCCCCAAAAAAGAGTATATAAACTCTGCAGATGATAATTCATAATTGCACAAAACATTACTAGGTAGGATCAAATTTACCCCAAAACAGTACATAAACAAACAACATTATAAACTGCACACAAAAATTCTTACAATATACAAGATTTATCAACTAATCCGATTCTTCTTCCATCTGTGCCGCATTACAAATCTCACTTCTCTTAAACACATTACTCCTCGTCTGAACATCGGCCAACCTATAAAACTCCGTAAAATCCCTCCTAACATGCACCACCGTTTTTTTCTTCTTCTCTATCAGACGTGGGCCAAGCTTTCTTAAGTCAACCGTCGCTCCATACATTTCAGAAGATCGAACGATCGCATCATATGCCTTTGCCGAAAGCACGAGCCCTTCGTTTGTTGCCCTTAAATGCAACTCGTAAGCAATCCTCGGTTTTCCATCTCTCGCCAGAACATCGATCAACATCTCGTAAGTAACCTCGTTCGGGTCGACATTTCGATCCTTCATATGCTGAAACCACTCGTACGCCACACTCCCGAAATTATTCCGGCCGCAGCTACTGATAATCGCGTTAAACGTCACAACCGTGGGCCCCACGCCAAGGGTGGCCATTTCCTGTACAATTGATTCCAAAATGTCAAATTTACCCTGGCCCGCGTAAATCGAGGCCATGATCGTGTAGGCATACAAGTTCGGCTCGACCCCAACTTTAGTCATGTGTTCCCAAACCCGAAGGGCTTCCTCGTAGAGCTTCCCTTTCTCAAGAGCACTGAGCAATGCCCCATAGGATATAATAGTGGGCTTCTCCCCATTTTCGACCATTCTCTTGAATATCTCGACAGCAGCTGAAGTTTCAGAAGCCTTTGAACAAGCAACGAGTACAGAGTTCCAATCGCGGCTACCCGGCTTAAGCCCCTTCTCCTCCATCTTGTTCAGCAGCCTCACTCCCCATCTCCAGATACCTTTTTTCCGGGCGGCCGATAAGAGTATATTAAAGTGGGAGACAATAAGCTCGTACGACATGTAATTCGGCTTCGGCCCTTTATCCAGCATGTCCTCGTAAACTTGTAAAGCTGCCCACCATTTTTTCGCCTTACCCAAAATCCAGATCACGTGATTGCAAACGGATAAGCTGATTTCGTTTTCGTTGTCCATTTCTCTAATCCGAGCGTATAATTCCTTGGCCACGAGATAATGCTCGTCACGCGTACAAGCCCAGATGAGGCGCTCGTTTTCCGAACGGCCGGGCCGCAAACCGGCATTGTCCATCTCGATTAGCAATCTCAGTACATCAGTGCTTAGATTTTCGGCTCTCACTAACCAACATCTCATCACTTGGTAGCACACACGGGCAGTGAAGTTTTCCAGCTTCTCAAACTCATGACCCCAGTCCCAGTCTGCCTGTTCTCCATCTTTCCCAATTTCGCCTTTTCGGTATTTATTTCTTATCTCGACAAAGAAATTTAAAGCCCCGAATCCATCTTCCATCCTACGGTAAGCAAATATCACCGTAGAATAAGAAGCGGGAGCATAAGCCACACCTTTACCCGGCATCTCGTGAAAAATCTGGATAGCCTTGGCTTCTCGCCCTCGATCAATGTGAATACTCATTAAAGTGTTGTATGTCACGACATTAGGATGTAAACCTTCTGAGGACATATCACTTAGGATCTCCTCAACAAAATCAAGATTTTCAGCATGCTTGCGAGTTCCCAATATATTGTTATATATGAAAAGATTGAGCCGGATTGGGTTATCAGCCTCCTTGCTCTTTCTCTTAAGCCACAGAAAGAGAGCCATTGCTGCATCTACCCTCTTCTCTTTGCCAAGACATTTGATAATGGTCGAGAACACTTGAAGGGGAAGCTTTTCCTTCCCTTTCAAAACAAATTCAACATCATCGACAGTTTTGGCTGAGTGTAGTCTAAATGACAGAGCACGAACATCAACTTTTTCACTTTGAACATCAGTATCTTTCCGAATATTATCATCCAGCTCATCAGTATGAGTAAATTTTACATCATCACTGTCATCTGGAAAATCATCTAAATCGACTAATTCTCCATGGGCAGTAATACTGTGGCCGCCAACTGCTGGCTCCTCCAGTGCCCACGACAGGGCAAAAGTTTTCGGCGTAGAAAAATGAACAAATTTGCCTTTTAACTTAGACTGTTTACCAACAAGAAAAGCCCCAATTTCGAAACTCCTAAAATAAGTCGATACATACACTAACCCATGGAAAGAAGTATAGCTCAACCCCAATCTTCTCCTTCTATCTCCCAACTTAACCGAGCTACTAGAAGAAGGACACAAATTCAAATGCAACCGTGGTATTACAAAAGAACTCAAAGACTCAGGTAGTGAAGTCCAAACCGCCATAGCTTGCATATTGAGCTCTGAAAATTACACAAAAGATGTTTGTTGTCTCTAATTCTTGCTCTGCTTTTTCTGTATATTCAAGAGCTGAAAACGATTAATCATACCTTAAAGAAGTGAACTTAATTGGGGCTTTGTTGGATGTAATCAGCCAGGTTTTAGAGTTCGAAGGGGTGGTTTCTTGGAAAACTGGTGCTGGATTTTTCACAGCCATTCATACGCCCCGAGCTGTGACCTGTGAGGTTGGAAATGAAAATTGAAACTCCGTCTAATATGGCCTGCTTAAACGGCGGCGTTTTATGCATCGCTGCTATTCATTGGCGCAGAATTAAGGTCCATCTGGCTGGGAATGGGCTAGATTAAAATAGCTTATTGGACTGTACAATGACTGGGCCTCAATATACTTATGGAGTTATAGTTCCTACTTCGAGTGAGAAATAGTACTAGTCTTTCGTTAATGGGCTAATGATAGCGCACAAGCCCAATAATTCGAAATGGCCCTCGACGCTAGCTGCAGACGACTAGTCAGCCTAGAACTTAGAAGGCGCTTCGGCGGGACTCTTTACAAAAAAATAATTAAATTAAAAATAAAAACACAATTTTATGACCGATTTACAAAATTTTACTAGTAAGCAGCAACAACAACAACAACAACAACAAGAACAAAGTTTTTTAATTCCAAACAAGTTAAGGTAAGCTAAAGATGAAACAAAAAAAAAAAACCTTTTACTAATAAGCAGCAACAACAACAACAACAAAGTCTTTTACTAGTAAGCAGATATAAGTTTTTTTCTTCAAATAATTTGACATATTTTTATGTTACAATGTCATACCCTCAAAACATATTAACACAAGTAACATGTCACAGTGTGTATA